TGGCCCTTAAAATGTCACCCTTTTAGATCCTGAAGGTCCATCTGAACTTAGCTGAAGTCCAGATACATCCATCCACGGGTCCGGCGTTCTCAGAAGGTGACATCCTTAAACGACCAGTACTTCCTGAATTCGCTCCGGCAAGCCAAAAGTGGAAACCGCGCCTTTTCCACTTGGCTGAATCGGGCCTACCGGCCCAGGCCCGTTCATTCCAAATGTCGCTCTGGTGGTTTAAGGCCAAATAATATGTAGGTTTGACTGAGCTTTGTAACTGTTGCTCCTTTATGAAAATAATAAATAAATAAAAATGTAGGTTTCCATTTCGTTCACAAAAAACTAATATAAAATGTCAGTTTTAATGAAATGGCTGTTTGAGATGGTGCATTTACATAGCCAGTTTCTCTGAGAACTGCAGTTGTTCTTAAAGTTGTTCTCCTAGGTTTTCGCAGGTTTGCTAATCGACTGATTGTTTTCTTAGCCGTAGCCCGGTATGTGTTACATATACTCAGCTGTACTTCAAAGGGACGCTGAGCCTGGTTCTTAGCACGTGATGCTCCCCACGAATAGATTGGAGCTTTTGTAACCCCCGCCCCCCCCCCCCCCCCCCAAAAAAAAAAGAAAAGAAAAAAAAGATGGTGCATTTACAAATATGTAGGTCTCAATTTCGTTCGCAGAATATAAAAAATTGTGTCCGTTTTAATGAAATGGCTGTTTGCAATGGTGCATTTATTGCATGAGAGACGAGGAGCTCTTTTTTTTTTTTTTTTTTTTTTTCCTTCCGATCTATTCGCGGGGAGCAGCACGTGCTGGGAATCGGGCACAGCGTCCCATCTCAGATCTAAACAAAACGAGTACTTCAAAGTATGAACCTACTGTGACATCCTTCCAGACTGACTGTTGATTAGACAAGGAGCTAGAGGTTCTCCCAGCTCAATTCTGCGACTTGCCATATGATGCACTGCAGGCAGCACCTGGTTTCCTCCCCCTCTGCACGGCCTCTATCCCCTTGGTGGTAAGAGAACCACAGGAATTGAGGCTTTGCCTGTCAGGGCTGGTCGATCTATTGGTGGGGAGCGACACCTGCTGGAAACCGGTTCCAGCGTCCCTAGGATGCATTGTCATGATGGTACTACAATGTTTTTGGGTGTATGGCCTTTTCTATTCCTAGCCTGGTCACCGTGCACATTCTCTCCTTTCAACATTTAAGTTGGGGCTGCATAGGACACCATTCAAACTTCCAACACACACACACACACACACACACACACACACAATCAGTTTTATGTCTGTTGGTCCTTCTTCTGTTGTATGTCCTCCCCATGATTTTTTCTAAGTCTTTTTGTGTGTCCAACTGAGCACCAAACAGTCGGTGGTTCCTCGTTTGGAGTGCCTACTGCACTCTTATGGGGGCTGCTCGGTTCGGGATGTCTGTGTTGCCTGTCGGTGATGACGGATGTTCGTCGGAGTGACTCCCTGGCTCAGTGGGTGGTAGGAACCAACAGTCTGCGGGGTTCTATCGTGATGCGAGTAGGTCATGTGCTGCTTTGCTCCGTGTTGGATGTGTGGACGTCCTCGTCTGCACTCCGCCACTGCCCTGCTGCCTGTCCCGCTTGCTTCGCGTGTGGTTCTTTGCGGGTTGATGTGTTCGCTGTGCGGTGTGGCCGTGTTGTTGGTGTTGCCTTGCGCTACGCTGCTCCACTGCGGTGCTGCTCATCCGTTGGTTGTGCCTTCCGTGCTTGCCGCTTGTGTTCCCTGTAGGTTGGTTGCTTTGTTGGTGGTGCCTTGTGCTCCGCTCCACGGTTGCCCAGCTGCTGGTTCACTCGCCTTGTTTTCCCTTGCAGTGTTGTTGCCTTGCTTGTGTTGCCTTGTGCTTCACTACACGGCTGCTGCGCTGCGTGCCATGTCGTTCCTTGCAGTCGTTTTTGGGGTTGTGCAGCCGTGTTACCTCTACTGTGTAGCCTGGTGCTTCACAGGGTTGCTGCCGCTGCTATGTTCCTCTTGGGGACAGTCTGCCTTTAACATGGGTCAAAGGGTTCATGACCCAAACCATCAAATATGGGGATTCCGCAGATTGTTGACGGTTCAGCCTCCTGATGAGTCGGTGCAACTCCGACGAAACAATCTATCATGTTTTGTTTTTTTTTCACTTTGTTTTTTTTGCTGTTTGTTCTTTTGTCTGCCTTGTTGCCTTGTGGTCGCCGCCTCATTCTTCTGCCTAGTGCTGTTTGTCTGCCCACCCGCCTCCCCCTCGCCCTCCACCCTTTGTTCTTCGCTGCGGTGTGTCATCCGAGTACCGTGTTGTGTTTTGACCTCAGCCTTGCCGTTTTGCTTGTGTTGTTGTACTTGTCATACCGCTGGTCGGTTCGTTTTTCGTTTCACGACTTTTGAAAGTTGGGCTTTATAGGCATTGTTTTCCATGGGCATCCTGGGTTGTGGGCTCTATCCCGGTGTTGTTTATAAGCGCACTCTTCAACGCAACATGCTGCAACACGGTCGCAGAAGCCACGCAATAGAAACATAACACACACACACACACACACAC